CAGTCCAGGACTTACATATGACAGACAACAGTTGACAGTCGGCAGATATAGTTGATGCCGAGAAGGAAGCGAACGCATAATGAGCATGAGGAAAGTTTGGCAATCAAATACATGACACATATCAGCAGAGTAAGCGGTCACACTAGAAGTGTGCTGCAATAGAAATCAACAGAACTCGTACAGTCATAAATCAGTAACGCGATTATCAGCCAACTGTGAATACGAGTTTCGTTTTGATTCGTGCTCTGAACTACAGGCAGACGATTTGCCAATGATCATCAGAGATTTTTGCTGTTTTGGATAGCCGCATAGATATGAAATGTTTGAGAAATAATTCCCAATCGTTGATTATGATAATAAAAGTTATGTATTTCTTTTTGAATAAATATGAATGATAGTAGATTGAACACAATAGTTTTTTCTCACAAGCTTCAATCTAATAATGTCTTTTCTGTGTGATGAATGTCCTTTTGAGTTGACACTAAAGAAATTAGATCGAAATAGATATTAAGTTGAAATACCTTAGCATACCTGTCGAGCAAGAACTTTTATCGATGGTAAACATTTGAACACGATGATTATCAGAGTCGGCCACATACAAATTACCGTGCCGATCAATTGTCAAACTCTTCGGCCATGACAATTGATCCGATGCATCACCTGGACCATTACCGCCGACGATGATAATTCCTACTTTTGCATTTTTGAACCAACGCACAATTCGACTATTGCCTATTTCAAGAACATAGATTGTACCCATTTTGTCGACGACAACTGAACTGGGCTGATCCAGTTGACTGGTACTGTTTCCTGCTTGATTGCCTCCAGCTACAATAATACCTTCTTTGGCATCGACTGGCCATTTAACAATGCGATTATTGCTAAAATCGACAACATATACTGAGTGATCTGAATCAACAAAAAGATCTAAAGGATTTGAAAGTTGGTTCAAAGCAGATCCTTGTCCATTACCACCAGCTACAGTTTGATTTCCAGGCCATTTAAGCACACGTTCCTCTCTATCAGTAACAATATACAATGATCCTTCATTATCCAATGCCATTCCTCCGCATAATATGTCTGAAATGATCGTTTCTCCTTGACTTTCATCTTTCAACAGTCGCTGTACTCTTTGATTCCAACGATCACAAATGAACATAGTGCCATTTTTTGCAATAACAATACTTTCCACATAAGCTAGTTGATTGTTAGCATCGCCATTTTCGTTACCACCTGCTACTATTCTACCGCTCAAATCTCCGATCATCCATTTGACTACTCGATTATTGTATGAATCGGAAACATAAACAGTCAAATCATCATCCACAAACAAACCTTGTATAACACCGCCGAGTTGATTCAATGCTGAACCCTGTCCATGGCCACCGGCTCTTGTGAGACCTTTTCGGTTCCATGTTGCATTTGAACAGATACCATCACTCGGTGGTGGACACATAATTGATGAGGCCATACTCAATGGATAACACACAGAAGTTTGAAAGCATCGAGGATGGTTGATACAGGCATAGTCTGGCTTATAACATGTTCGATTATTGTCGGTACAGAAGACTAATTCCGAACAGGCTAGATAGAGATAAGCACAGATACATATTTTGTCACCTATCGCCGAAGAAAGATAACCACACGCAGGATTTTACGAGCATTGATTATATTGAAATTCTGTTTGACGTTTTTGCATTTTGAGAAAATCGTTTTCTGAAGACTCAGACTCAGAAAGTGCAGCATTGAGAAAATATGAGTGGCTAAAAAAGGACAAAAGAAAAGAATATGTAACTGCGAAGGTCGCACGCTTACCTAAGAATCACCACGATACACCAATACTTCATCCACATCATGTGCTTTGTTCTTTTCTCTACGTTCTTTGTACTCACGGTGAGATCGATGCCACCTGACATACTGTTATCATCGTATCTTATTCAACCTTGGTATGATTGTTCCATTGTCTTGTTTGAAAAAAGCGACTACTCTGAAAAAAAAACTGTGATCAACTGATATCAGGAGCGCCATAACGGGAGGGGGTACCTCCTAATTTTGGAAATTTGTCGTTTTTATGCTCGCTGAAAGTAAAATATGGCTACTTTGGCTTAAGTTTTGCGAAAAATTTTGGTTTACCCCCTCTCCAAGTTTCGGCTACCGCCAGGCACCCCCAGTTTCTGGCTCCAAGACAAACAACTGGATCACAAACTCAAAAAAGCTTTTTCAACCGCCCTCCTTAACTTGCTGACCTCAGTTGCTCCCACAAGTAATGCATCAATTTCTCTAAATTTCCATTAGGAATACATACGTAATGAGTGTGGGTGTGGGACGTGCAAAGTGGCTCCGATGTCACCGGAATCGTAATCGCCACCAAATTTTGATTTTGGGTGTGAGTGGTGTGGGTGGGTCTGGGTGTGGGTGTGGGTGTGGCTGGGTGTGGGTGTGGCTGGGTGTGGGTGTGGGCGTGGGTGTCGCTGCCCTTAAAGTGATGATGAGCGTCCACCAACACAACCAGTCACCTACACACACACCCATACCCACACCCGCACCCACACACCCACAGCCATACCCACACACCCACAGCCACACCCATACACCCACAGCCACACCCATACACCCACAGCCACACCCACACACCCACATCCACACACCTCATACCCACAGTCACAGCCACACCCCACACCCACACTTCGAAATTTTCAGTTTTATGATGATTATAAAAAATTACATCAGGCAGATTTTATACTAACATTTAATTAACATGTAATAGAATTAGAAGCGGCAGAAAAGATGCCAGTCTCTCAGATTTGAAAAAGTTTCGTTTTAATTTGGATCTGAGTGATAGTGTGAGTTCTATAGTATGGGCAAACAGAAGAGCCAATCTCTATGCTGATAATTAAACACAAATCTAGATACTGTGTTGTTTTTTTATTAGATTTAAATGGAATGATGCAAATATTGTAATTATATGAAAGTCAAAAAATAGCATAATTAAATTCTCGTGTGTATGCACACTGTTTGTAAACCTAATTGTATGAAAAATATAGTTCAAGTGAAAAGAACAATAAATAATCAATATAGTCGTTTTTCTTCTTTCTCTAATTGTTTTCGAAGTGCTGCCGAAATTTTATTGTTCTGGAAAAGGTTTAATTTTTGAATTGTCTATGTATATTAATAAAGAAAATATTAGAAATTGAAAGAATAAAAAACAGATAGTGCAATTTACTGTGTTATTTCGTAATACATCCCTAAGAATTTGTGCCCCTGCATCCCCAATGTGATTATCAGCAATGGATAATTCAGCCAATGCCTGTTTATAAAGGAGAAAATTCATATAAGAGAGATTATAAATTAGTCAAACTCACCATATTATTTCGTAGAACATCGGCAAGAAATTGTGCCCCTTGATCTTTTATTTCATTTGTATTCAAACCTAAATTGCTAACTGTCTATGTTTTAGTAAAGAAAAGAGATATAACAAAAATTAGTTAATAAAACTCAAAAGGCAGTTACCCTATTATTGCGTAAGATCTCAGCGAAATGCTGTACTCCATCAGCTCCGATTTGATTGTTCCAAAGATCAAGCGTGGTCAAAGTCTATTGAACAACAAGATAGGCATGATGAAAAAACAAATGAAACAAGATAATTCACTACCGTATTATAACGCAAGGCATCTGCGATATGTTTTGCTCCAGCAGCCTTGATTAGATTGTTGCCAAGATACACTGTGGTGAATGTCTGTACGTAAAACACACGGATATGAAAGAGAACGAGG